CTTGTGGAACTCCATATTTAATGATTTTCGGATTTTTCATTAAGGACTTCTGTATACTGTGTTCTATTTGATAAGTAGCTTTTAATAAGACAGTTTGCATTGCCTCTTATTCCATACCTATCTAGTTTTGTTAGGAGTGTACTATGGTCGATTGTATCAAATGCTTTACTCAAGTCTATAAATATTCCTAGAACATGGTTTCGTTTTTTTATGCTATCTTCAATAATCCTAACAGAGTAGTTAACAGCATGGCTAGTAGAATGGGACTTGCGGAAGCCAAATTGGTTTTCATCAAGGATATTTTGTGACAGAGCGAAACTGTAGATACGGCTGTATATCACTTTTTCAAATATCTTACCAAATATAGGCAGTGTAGAGACAGGTCTGTAGTTTCCTACATCCTCTTGGTTTCCTTTCTTAAATATGGGAGTAACTTTCCAACTTTCAAAACATCAGGAAATACCCCGCTCATCATGGAGTTTGTTGAAATGTTGGGCTAAAACAGGGCAGATTAAATGAGCTGACTTTTTGATTATACGGATCGGAATATCACTAGATTTGCCATTTTCCAACTTGGAAATTATTTCCATGAGCTCAGTATGTGAACAGTCAGATAGGAATATAGAGTTATTGTTGGATGGCAGGAGGTAGTCTTCAAATGTTGAAAATTCAGAAGCCTGTATAGGCAGGTCAGCTATTGATTCATTTAGAGTGGAGGCAATTGAGTTAAAGTATTTGTTGAACTCGTTTGCAATAACCCTTCTATCTGTTATTTTTCTGTTGTCGATTATAAATGAGGGTTTTATAGTTTTTTTACACTTCCCTCTAAGTTCATTAATGATCTGCCATGTCTTCTTACGGTCGTGCTTATTTTCTATGATTTGGTTGCAAGAGTAAGTATTTTTTGCAGAGTTAATCACAGATTTGAGGATCCTTCGGTATACTTTGAAGGTTTGTTCGAGAACATGGTCTCCATCAGGGTTTGCCTTAGTTTTAGATGTAATCCAGTTATCTTTTAATTCATGTTTTTTTTCAACGGCTGCTGAGATACTATCTGTTATCCAGGGGTTATTGATAGGATTCCGTTTAGTAGTTTTTGGCTTTACAAGTTTGCATGTTGCATCAAGTTACACGATCAAATAATTTAGTAAAATCCGAGAATTCATGAGAAGTGTGGAGCTTTGAGAGGTCAGTTTCAGTAGGGTTAGGAATTTATTAAGGTTGGCATTACTGAAGTCGTAGTACTGGACATGTTTTTCACTTTTTGGACCAACCTCAAATTCAATGTCAGTGAATTCAAATGTTGGAGCATGGTCACCAATTCTATCTGTTATACAACCTGAGAGAACACAGTTACCAGGGTCATTCGTGAGAGGATGTTGTCAATACAAGATGGTTTGCAATTTGGTCTCTCATGTGTAGGTATCGAAATAACGGGAGCGAAACCATTTCTAAATAAGCATTCTTCAAAAAGAGTATAGTTGCCATGACCAGCATCACCATTCACTTTAAGAAGGTCAACATTAAAGTCCCCCATTATACGTACACCAGATTTAGGGAGGAGTTTACATATGTGATCAAATGACTTAAGGAAATTATGATGTCACCATTAGGAGGGCGATAGATGACCCCTGAGATGAGTGTGAGCTTGCTGGATGATTGAGTGATCTTAACAAAGATTGATTCAATATCAGGCGTGCAGTAGCCAAGATTTTCTATGACTTCTGCATTAAGGTGATTTGCTACATACAGGGCAACACCAGTCCCTTTCAGCTTGTTCTCCTGAGTGACCTGATAAAAACTGTTGTATTGCGGTATTCTGTATAGTTCTTTAAGAGGTTCATCTGTGTTTGTTTCAGCGATACCAATTACAGAGAAATTTAGTTCAATCCGTTTGAGTTCAACATTAAGACAATCGAAGTTGGTTTTGTTACCATCTAAGTTGACAAAGTAGGATGTGAATTTTGAGTGTGTGGATGAAGGATTACATGAGTTTTGAAGCTCCCTGACTACCCTATTAAGATCAGTTGTAGAGTAGCTCTGACATTGGTCTAGAACATTCGAAATTTTTTGATAGTTTCGTCATCACATCCACCTTCATCATCGTAGAATTTTATCACCACCATCACTAATCATCCCAGAGAAGGGGTTGTAGCGTGGTATCACGTTCAGTGAACAAACCTTACATACCCCATAGACCATTGGTGGGGCAGAAACCTGCTGCTTTAAAAACATTTTAGTATGAATAGCTGTCCGACAGGCTTCACATTCCAGTAGGGGCTGCCCAATGTTGATGGCCTTGAGCATGGCTCACAGACCTCCTTAATTAATTTCATGATCATAGTTATGTGTCGGTTAGGTTGGACCAGTGGATCCAACCCTCTGTGCTTGACTCCCTAGACACCTTTTCCTTCAGAAACACACAGTTTTTTCATGTGGCTTACAAACTTAGCTAAACCTCTACTTCCTAAGTGAATCGTGTCGTTACCCCTAGTGAACTTAACCGATAATAGCTTATTGTTATCTAAAAAACCATACATACCCTGAAACCAAATATTAGGAAAACAGTTCTTTATCATGTCCTGTACCAAGTTGTTGTAGAGCATTATATTTTTATTCATTTCATGGATTCTTGATGTAAAACAGGTACAACAAAAATGTTAGTAAGTGGACACAATTGACGTATTTCAGTTAGTTTGTTCTTTAAAGTTGACACTGTCTCGTGGATATCTGAGACATTTCTTACGTTTTCACAGCGTAGATCGTTGGTACCACACATAAGGAAAGCGTTGGAGAATCCAGCACACAGGTGTGGATCGATGTCTTTGACACGGGCAGCCTTGACTCGTTTACCAGGGAAGGAATGACCAACTTTACCTGCACCATCCCCAAAGTTGACATCTTTGGTATTCGAATCACCGATTAAAACACGATGCTTCGTCGAGACTGGCTGCTGAGAGATCTGAAGGTGATCGAAAATCTCTCCTCTGTTGGGTTTATCATCAGGTAATTTTGGCACACCGTGGCGGGTACCAATTTTGTGAAGACCTTGTCATAGTGTAAAGTGAGTTAGACTTCACATCAAGCTCAATAGGATCTAGGTCTTTGTCTTGTTTTGGATTCAAAAAGCACAGTTCTAGTCGCACCAATTGAGATCGTGACGATTTTCGAGTTGGCAAGAATAGTGGATTCATCATCAGAATGCATAGCTAGGTAGCTTTGGGATGGAGAGAGTCTGTCTGAGGAAGGGTAGTGGTTAATGAGGACCGAGTTTGGCTTGTGCTCGAGTTGTAGTTCTGAGGAGAGCCTGTCAATAATAGAAACAAGTTCAGGTGGGATAGGCTCGTGTTCTTTAGGGGGCTGGGAACCAGTGTTAGCTGTAGGGCTCTCCATACAGGCGGACGCTGTGGCCATTCTCTTCGATGAAGTCTCCAGAGTCCTTCAGATAACCTAGAAGGTCTCCTACACTGCTCAGTTCCTTTTCTGTCAGGTATAACTCTTTGTACTGCTCGTAAGGCTGTTCAGGACATTTTAGATTTCTTTGGTGGGTGATGGAATAACAGGTCTAGGTTGTTCTCTGTAGTTAAGCTGAGGGGATGCATTTGTTCTTCCTTTGAACTCCTGAATTTCATTGTTAAGGTCTTCTAGTCGAGCATTCAGGGATGTAATGTCGACGCTCGGATTGACCTTTCAATGGTTTCTTTAACTGATTCACTTATCTTCTGGAGCAATGAATTTTCCAGGAGGGTGCTCTCGTTGAGTTGAACTGCTTGTGGCACAGGTAATGGCTTCTTCAGCAAGAATTTTTTCTTTTTTAGCAGATGGGTGGTTCTTAGGCCTAGGAAAGATGCAAGTGGTAACACCAGGGACATAGCCATTTTTGGCTGATGCAGTCTAATCACCTGGAGAGTTTATTGGTACCAGGTAGATTACCGCAAGAGGCATGCCATGATTGTTTACAGTCTGAGCACTGTATTACCCAGTCTTTTCCGTCTAGGGAACTGCTACATGGGCAAGAGTCTTTTTAGTAGATTCTGACTTTTTCTTCGTCTGATCACTACTGTTTTTCTGCTCATTGGAGCTTGTTGAACTTGACTTGGGAGTAGTAGATTTGTTTGCGAGGGGACTGGCTTGTCCTCCTTTCGCCAGAGGACTACACCACGTGGGCTTTGACGACGTTTGGCTTGTAGGTTCGAGGACTTCTGGGTGGGTGATCCAGAGGATAGAGTTTTCTTTTCTGTGTGTTTTTCTGCATTAGTGTATGGTTAGCAAGGAGCACATGATGAGATCGGGGACCAGGGCACCATAGAACTAGCCAGCAGCCTGAAATAAGATGATGAGAGTAAAAGAGTTTTGACATATGAGTGAGTGATATAAAGAAGAAAGAGTAATTTGAAATCAAGATGAGCAGTTTTTTAAAGTAAAAAGAAGAACACTAGACTATCAGATGAATGCAAAATTGTTTTTGTGATGTGTTTTTTTGCTTGGTGTCATGGGAGGGGGCAAAAAGGGCAAGGGAATGGAGGGGGCGGGGGGAAGCGGGATGGGCTGCACTGGGCAAGGGGAGACAAATATTGTTTTTATTAATTTTGTCTAAAGTAGATTTGTGTATTATTTTTAGGGGTGGGCTGATTTTTTTGTAAAGAAAAAAGAGATATATAATATATAATACAGAACATGAAATAGAAATGATTTTTTAATGACGCATAGAGGTTAACACTACAACACTACATAAAACATTATTCAAGAATGTCATGCAGTCAGAGTACCCGCAACAGTAATGGGGATGGAGGAGTTGGGCTAGGGTGGGGCAATGAAGAGATGAGTGGTTGTGTCTTGGATGGAGGAGATGCAGATGTGACATGGATCTAAGAAGAACTCATCTTAATATCGAGGCTGATACCAGTCTTCTGATGCCACTGGTCCCGAGAGCTCACATGCCACCCCGTGCAAGTTGTTTACAGCTGCATTTCTTTAGGTTGCGGGTACTCTTGGCTTACATTGCACATCCTCAAATTATTTGTTATATAGTAGTGTTGAAAGTATTAAAACTAAATATTTTCTTTGACTATCGATGCTAATATACTACCTAGTGCTCCCCTCCAACCTAAAATACACTCTGTACCATGTTTGAGGTCATCCATAAATCTTTACTTTATGGTAATATTTTGTACCATTTTTCTCAGACACTTTAAACTTGATGTACAGGGGGGAGAGGGGCATTGGGACAGCCTTAGCTGCAATTTCTGTAAAATTGCTATCTACCACAAAAACCAAACTGTCACCTACCATGTCACCGAAACAGACTGTTAAGTTAATTTTTAATATTACCAGCAGCTGGCTTGAGGTCATGTCTAGGTGTGGTCTTGGTTTTTCTATCTCTCCTTAATATTTCCCTGATAGTAATTTGTAATTGTTCCTTACTGAACCCTGGACCAAATTTAAACCGTTGTTTTACAATAAATGTCCATGGTTTCCTAAATACACCGCGGATCTAGCAATCAGGAACACCACCACTAAATATGACCAAGATACATGAATTCCATGGTTATATCTACAAACATAGCCTCACATCATTATTCTAAACGAGACATGGCTGAAAAATTCCATTCTCAGTAATGAGGTGCTCCTGACAAATACAAAGTATTTAGGCTTGATCGATCCTTAAGATCGCATCCAGTGGATGCAACCCAGCCCAAGAAATTCAGAAAAAACGGTGGTGGTGTTCTGATTGCCCATAGAACAGACATTGATATCTCGAGTCTAAAGTTCTCAAAGGTTAGTGTTCAAGCTGAATTATTAATCAGTCATAATTAAGACTCAGTGTGGAAGAAACTTTTGCATATCTACATTCTATAGAGTAGGAACACTTGGCTTAGATTAATTTTGAATCTTTCAAGAAACATTTTGTTACCTTAGCATCTGCCAGAAAGTTGCAAAGACACATTCTGGTAGGGGACTTTAATTTAGCTTCGATTTCCTGGCCAGATGGTCAGTCATCTTGCCAGCTACATTCCAGCTTTGTAAATTTCTCACTGATGACCTCGGACATACACAACTTATTAGCTCCCCTACTCACAAGTCAGGCAACACCTTAGATCTTGTGTTCACTAACATTCAGAACCTTATTAAGAATGTTAAAGTTTTAGATCAAAACGAAATGTGATGTCCGACCACTTTTGTATCACATTTGACATTGATGTTAAGACCAAGTATATTAAGCAGCCTAAAAGAAAGATCTTTAATTATAGTAAAGGTAATTTTAGGGGCCTGAATTCTGAGTTATTTAGCATCGATTGGGATAGTATATTTGATGTGTAATGATCCTTATCTTGCCTGGAGTCGATTCAGAGGAGTTCTTGATGCAGCCTGTGACCGATGGGATCCCTAAAAAGACCATTAAGTCCGCAGTTCCAGCCCCCATGGATTGACTCCGAATGTGATCGTCTCCTACGAAATAAGGAGAAATGGTAGAATAAGGCATAAAGGGGAGCAACTCGAGTCTCATAAACAAAAGTTTCGTGCAATTTCGCACAAAATTTAAAAATTTGATGACGAAAGAATGAGACTCAGTGTTGAGGATGACTCCGATGATGGCTCTTATCTCCAAGAAATTCTGGACCTAACTTAAATCTAAATCAAAGTCAACCAGGATCCCTGAAACTGTCAAATATCATAATCGCTTTCGAAACAATCCATCTGATCAAGCTGCTCTTTTTAACGAATATTTTTATGAGCAGTTTTCTCAAGAGAGCGATTTATGGCATTGACATAGATTTTCGTGATGATTGTTTTTCCAGTCTTGTGTTTAGTAAAGAAGATGTTCTGTTGATTCTTAAAAAGTTAAATCCTAACAAGGCCCCCTGGCCCTGATGGGGATTCATGGGAAAGTCCTCAAAAACTGTGCCCAAAGCCTTGCATACCCACTTAGTGTACTATTTAACCTGTTCCTTCTCAAGCGGATGCATACCCCCTGATTGGAAGCTGGCACTTGTAGTACCAGTGCACAAAAAGGGCGATAAGTCTTCGGTTGAGAACTACAGGCCTATCTCGTTAACATCTCTTGTAATGAAAGTCTTTGAAAGGTGCATAAAGACTGCATTATACGCTGCATGTTCTGATCTGTTGGATGACCGACAACACGGTTTTGTTATGAACGTTCATGCACAACCCAAAATGATACCTTTCACGGACAATCTTGCACTTGCACTGAACAACAGGTCCAGGACTGATATAATATATTTTGATTTTGCGAAAGCTTTTGATAGCGTTTCGCATGACCTCATTTTAAAGTAAATTAAAGAATATTTTAATGTCGATGGACTAATGCTTAAATTTATCAAGTCCTATCTTGAGGGGCGACAACAACAAGTAGTGATAGGAGGGCCAAATGTCTTCCTCTCTACCTAGTTCGGTCTGGTGTCCCTCAAGGTTCTATTACTTGGCCCTCTATTGTTTGTAATATTTATTAATGACATGTTCTCCTGTGTCTCTGAAGGCACCAATATCGCCCTTTATGCAGATGACACTAAAATTTGGAGGGAGATTCTCGGTTTACCCTGACCATCACATAATCCAAATGACATCAATAGATTGTATGATTGGTCAGTGAGAAATCGAATGAAGTTCACCCACAAAAGTGCAAAGCCCTCTCTGTGTCCCCTGCAAAGAAACGTGCTGGATAACTTGCCATTCAATACCTTCTTCTATAAACTTTCTGGAAGTGATATTGACTTTGTGCCCTCTCATCAAGATTTAGGAGTCGCAATAAACTCCAGGTTTAATTGGAGGTGCACAATGTAAAGCGCTTGTTTCCAAGCTACCTCCAGACTTGGACTACTTAGAGACATGTCATTTCACTACTGATAAAAGGCAGAAAAGATCGTTCTATTTGGCGTTAATTAGGTCTATATTTGAACATGTTCTGTCATATGGTCCCCTCAATCTGCAACTCAGCTTCAACAGTTGTTGCTATCCAAAAGAGGGCTATTTAAATGGATCAATGGTGAACCCTACTCCAGTTATAATGACGATAAACCTTGCTACAGAGCAAAAGAAGCTAAATATTCTCCCTGTCATGCAGAAGTTTATTTATAACGATCTTATGACCTTCTATAAAATAGTGGAATAGCATAATTCCAGTTTCGCTTCCTACTTATATAGTCCTATGCCGTCCAGAGGGCACCCGATACACTAGGCACAATGCTCAAATAATTGACAGGTCGGATACTTCAACTTACATGAGTACCACTGTGCCCTGCTCGGATGCCTTCCGAAATAGCTTCTTTCATAGATCTATGCTGAAATGGAATAGTCTACCAGTATGTATCCGGCAGTCAGAGCGGATTTCTACTTTTAAGGCCAATCTGATCAAGTACCTCTGGGCTGCCGATACAGTCTGGCCAGACTAGTTTCAGAAATGTGTTTTTGTTGGTTACAATTCTGTCCGTCCATTTTCCTATCTGCTTGTCCTTCTTTTTTTTTCCTATCAGTTGTGACGGAATTGTAATGAACAAAATCCATATATAATTATATATGATATGTTTGATTTCTTGTTATTGTATGTCATTCAAATTTGGTAGACGGCCCCAACGTTAATGTGGCTTTTGCTATGTGTTGGTTCAGCCGAATTAATTATTATGTTTAATCAAGTTTATTTTTCTCGTTAGTTGTCATCCGGCCCAAACAATAAGCAACTTATATTGCAGCACCATTTTTCAATTAGAATATTAAAATATGTCATTGTAATTTTGCATGGCTGAAATGTAACGCTTGATTTGTATATATAATAATTAATTGAATTTTCAAATAAAAAAAAAAAATCGTCAGCCGTCAAAAATTTAGAATTTGTATGTTATAAACTCTACACCTGCTATCAGTCTAACATGTAATTTAGTTTGTTATTGGCTAAATTTTCAACTCGATTAAGCGATGCAGACGGATGAACTAGGCTTCTCCTCCGTCAAAAACACAATGAGAGGGGATTGTGGAAGGACACGAACACTATTCGTTAACTCGTACCCCGGGTACCCCCTAGAACTGTGTCCCATCAGAGAGAGCCCATCACCCGTCAGATCGAAAACAGTGTTTTAGTTTTGATATATGCTGTACCAATTACAATAAATGGTAAGTCAAGGCTGACGTTGGTAGCAAAGTATAAAGTGACACGTCACAACAAAATAACCACTACACACTACACACACTATAACGCTATAACTATTTGTACACAGTACACAGTATAACTAAAATATAAAATATAAACAAGTTACAAGAGACAAAAGAGTTTACAGAAGAGTTTTACATCGGCTCAGCACCGCCAGGACATTGGCTATACACGTGGGTCAATTAGTTTGATTTGGTATGGCTCGACCGGGAAAGTGGTCGAAATTAGTGCTCTTAATGAGTCCATCACTGTCGTCTGAATATTAGAGCGGGAACTTCCAAGTTTCGGCCGACAACGCGCACAGCATGGGCGCGCAATGCTATGCGCGGTCTCATATTACTGTGTCATTCGGCGGTTGCGCTCAGCGTTACTGGGAATGAGTTGTATGTTGTTTACCTAAATTCAAGCATGGTATTCATAGATAAGCTTGTCAGTCAGTAAGTGCTTAAGTGGGAATAACAGGCAAGCTGACGACGATTAACACCATGTTTTATTGAAAGCTTCTACAAGTTAAATCATCGTATCTCTTATATGTTTTTTAACCAACTCCACTCAGGCAAATGAAAATCACTTCATAATCAGAATTCAGTGAAATTTCTGTCACACCACTCAGTTCCATACCGGTTTGAGCTCTTAGAAGTGACTGTTTAAGTAAATTCTTGACAGATCCGCATGTGGAGGTGAAAGTTAAACGGCCAACTTTACGGAATTCGTTCCACAGCCATGCAGATTTATAAATAAATTGATTAGTTGGAGAGGGTGTAATGAACAGATTATCTTTCCTATTTGATATGTTGAATAAGTAGTATAACGAAATTGGTACTCGTGACTTAATGATCTTAAAAAGTTCCATTAAACAACGGTATCGGTACAGGTTCT